AGAGGGTTTCAAACCCTCCACATGTGCACCTCATCGCCCCCGTCCTAAATCCCGTACATGCATAAAATCCATTTCTACTTATTGATACCCTCCTTTGCAGTTGCCTCCATTTACCTCCTTCCATTTCTTCTAATGGACTAACTTTTTCTAAATTGAAATATAGATCTGGCCACCAGGTATTTAATGGGGCAGTTCCTAGGGTTTTGTTGTAGACTTCATGAGTCTCTAAATTAGTAATTTCCCATGTCAAATTATAGGGGTTGTGGGGGTTTGGATCTACAGACAGAGTTTGCAGAACAATCAAGAGGAGGGCAAGTACCATAGTTACGGTTTAGTCCGTTGGCGGCCTAGGGTCAATTTTAAAGGATTGTCCTTAGTCCGGTCAACAGTCCAGGTTGTCTTTGAGGGTCCGATGAGGTCTGAGAACGGGTCCACCGGTTTGGCGTGGGTGTAATGGATCCAGGCGGCGATTCTGTCTACTTTGATGGCCGTAGGCATTGTCAGGATGACCTGGAAGGGTCCTTTCCACCTGGGTTCGAGTCTCCTGCCGATGATGTTTGACGAGGACCCAATCCCCGGGTCAGAATTGATGAGGAATAGGCGGGGGTCCAGTCTCATAAAGTTCTTTTAATTTGGGCCATACATCTTCATGGACCCTCTGCAAGGCTTGTAAGGAGAGCAAGAGTTCAAGACCATTATCGTTCTCAGTTTTGACAAGGTCATCTTTTAGGTTAGGGATGATGGGGGGTGGTCTACCATGCATTATTTCATAGGGTGTGAGTCCCAGTTTGTATGGGGAGTTACGCACCCTGAACAGAGCGTAGGGGAGAAGGACTACCCACTTAGCGCCAGTCTCCATGGTCAATTTGGTTAGGGTCTCTTTTAATGTTCTGTTCATTCTTTCTACCTGCCCTGAACTTTGGGGTCGGTATGCACAGTGTAATTTCCAATCAACCCCAAGTATGGAAGCCAGTCCCTGACTTACCTTAGAGACCAATGCAGGTCCATTGTCTGACCCTATCATTACTGGAAAACCATACCTGGGCAGGATTTCTTCCAGGATCTTTTTGGCTACAATCTGCGCCGTTTCATTCTTGGTTGGAAAGGCTTCGGTCCATCCTGAAAAGGTATCTACAGAAACTAGCAAATACTTATATCCATATTTTCCTGGTCTTACCTCAGTGAAATCTACTTCCCAATAGGTCCCCGGTCTGCTCCCTCTTTGTCTTGCCCCTGATGTCTGAGGATTACTACTCGCATTGTTGAGTTGGCACACAGTACATTTAGTGACTACTTGATCAACCTTATCGGAGACATTTTTGATTCTCAGTCCAGTCTGTCTCATTAAATCTAACATTCGCCGGGAACCTAGGTGGGTGCTGTGATGGATCCGCTCTAGAACCTGCCATCCTAGCTTCTCTGGGAGTATAGTGTTGTTCTTGGAGTCTTTCCACCAGCCATCTTTGACTCGGGTCATAGGAAGTTTACTCATCCATTGAAGATCGCTTTCTGAATACTCAGGGCTGGGGGGCAATTCCCGGGGTCCGGGATCTGGCAGCTGTAGGGTCAGTAATTGCGCTGGGGGCCGAGCTATGTTTTTTTGCAGTCCGATCGGCCAAATTGTTGCCCTGGGAAACTGGGTCGGTTGTCTTCTGATGTCCTGGGCAATGCACAATTGCTAGCTTTTTGGGTTCCCATATGGCTGCTAGTAGGGCTAGAATCTCTTCTTTATTTTTGATGTCTTTTCCTTCAGCCGTGAGGAGCCCCCGTTCTCTGTGTATCGCCCCATGTACATGAGCGGTGGCAAAAACATATCGGCTATCAGTGTATACGGTTAGCTTGCGATCTCTTCCTAACTTTAGGGCCTGGGTTAAGGCTATTAGCTCAGCCTTCCGGGCCGAGGTTCCAGGGGGTAGAGCTTCTGCCCACACCACCTCGGTCTCTGAAGTCATGGCCGCCCCCGCGTACCTTTGTCCTTGGTGAACGAAGCTGCTTCCATCGGTAAACCAGATGGCGTCTGCGTCTGATAATGGCTGATCCTGCAAGTCCTCTCGAATCCCATAAACCTGTGCCAGTATGTCAGTGCAGTCATGAAGTGGGGTCCCCATGTCTGGATCTGGCAGCAGTGATGCTGGGTTCAGGGCCGTCGGGGGGGGGGGTGAAGATGATCCTGTGGGGGTTCAGTAGCAGTCCCTGGTAATGAGTGAGTCGGGCATTGCTCAGCCATCGGTCAGGCGGCTGTTTGAGGATGCCTCCGATGGCGTGCGGGGTGGTGACTTGTAGTTCTTGGCCCATGGTCAGCTTATCAGCGTCTTTTACCATCAGGGCAGTGGCTGCAATCATCCGGAGACAGGGTGGCCATCCGGCGGCCACTGGATCTAACTTCTTAGATAGATAAGCGACTGGCCTGCGCCAGGGCCCCAAATGTTGGGTTAGCACCACCTTAGCTATGCCCCGGCTCTCATCTACATATAGGTGGAAGGGTTTGGAAACATCGGGGAGTCCCAAGGCAGGTGCTGATAGCAGGGCAGTTTTGATTTGCTGGAAGGCCTGTTCAGCTTCTTCCGTCCAACTAAAAGGCTGGTGATCTTTTGTTGCGTGGTATAAGGGTTTTGCTAGTTCAGCAAACCTTGGTATCCATAGTCTGCAGAACCCAGCCGACCCCAGGAATTCCCTCACCTGTCGTGGTGTCTGCGGTCTGGGAATACGAAGGACGGTTTCCTTCCGGGCATCCGTTAGCCAGCGTTGACCCCCTTTCAGTAAGTAACCCAGGTAAGTTACCTCTGACTTGCAGATCTGAGCCTTTTTTGCTGAGGCCCGGTAACCTAAGGTTCCCAGAGTTCGCAGGAGACCTTCGGTTCCCTGGATGCAGGTTTTGGGCGTCTCGGCAGCTATCAAGAGATCATCAACATACTGCAGGAGAGTTATATTTGGGTGTTGTCTGCACTCACTTAAATCTTCGTGTAGAG